AGCTCCCTCTGGAGAGTGTGTTCCGGGGAAGTGCAACCCTTTCACCCTAAGGGTTGTGGCATGGAGTGAGTTAAGTGCTCAGCCTTGGCTTACTGGCAGAACCTGGGGCTTTAAACTAACATCTAAAACATATGGAAATGACCCTGGTGTCAAATTTACATTCAGAGGAAAGTACCTCCCTACAGAGCTCAAATTACAGCTGGTTACCCTGCCCTAAAGCACAACAGCCCAGTTCTCCCTTTATCCACTCCATGCAGCAAACTCCTCTCAGCACTACTGATGCCAGTTCTTTGCTCTTACAAACTTTTCCCCCATCGCAAGGAATAGTTCCAGCCTCGGATGAAATATCTGAGATCAAGACCGTAAGGTTAATTCATAATTGGATAAATCATACTACTCCTGATTTGGGATGAGATTGTTGGCTGTGCCTAGATCCTAAACCTCCCTTTTATGTAGGGATAGGGGCCAACATCTTGATTTCCCCTTCTAACACCCACAGGAAGGCACAGATTGTAGATCACAAGAACTTAGAATAACCCTAGGGGACCTGCAGAAAAAGGAAACATGTTTGGCTTCCTCAGCTTATGTCATCACTAACTCCCCTTATAGTCAGTCTTGTAGTTCCCTAACTCGTACTATTAAGTCAGCTTCTGATAGAGTACATCTCCAAGCCCCAACAGGGACCTTGTGGGCATGTACTTTTGGTCTTGCTCAATGTGTGACAGCAGAACATCTGGAATTGGAATCTAAAAAGGCAAGCCTATGTGTACTGGCATATGTTCTTCCTCAAATATATATAATGGGTCTCAATTAAGAGATCAATATTTAAATAACCATGCACCAACTTGAATAAAGAGAGCAGCTCCAGCTATTCTTCTACCCCTTTTAGGGGGAATCGGCATTGGGAGATCAGAACTTTAAGATTCTAAGCGTCAGTCGACCAGGACATAGACTATCTTAGAAGTTCTATAGGACAATTGGAAAAACAAGTAGACTCCCTAGCAGAAATGGTTTTGCAGAACTGTAGGGGGCTGGACTTGTTCTTAAAAGAAAGAGGTCTTTGTGTAGCTTTAGATGAAAAGTGCTGTTTTTATGCAAATAATTCAGGAGTGATTAGAGAAACTCTAGCTTTAATAAAACAAAACCTAGATCAGAGAATGAGCTAAGGTTTCAAATTTGTGTGGGTCCCTCTTCTCCTGGTCTCCATGGCTAACTAATCTCTTAACAGCAATTGTGGGCCCCCTGCTCCTATTACTTTTAGGTGTTACTCTGGGCCCTTGCATTTTAAATTGGTTACTGGGATATATTAGGAAGAGAATCAGCTCTGTCAAAATATTAGCATTACAGGCTCAATACCAACCTATAACAAATATGGATCAATGATTTGATCCATATGAACCAGAGCCAGTGGGGAATGTATTCACCAAACTGACTCCATTTTGTATAAAGTAGCCATCTTAGAAGCTTAGCCATAGTGTATAATAGTGTATAATCGGATACAGAGACTGCAGTCCAAGATAGCTTGAATAAAATATTTTATCCCGATCTGAATTGAGTTTGGTGGTCTTTCCTCAGTAGTCCCAGGGTCCATAACAATAGCACTTAGTAGCTTAGGACCCTCACAATGCCTTTTTAATCTTCATGAGAGCTTGGTGTCTGAGTGCTCACATGGGTGAGGACACAGACCTCCTTCCACAGCCACTGTCTCCTCACCTTCATGGAGAAGTGAAGGGCTCTCAGTGTAAATCTCAGGTTACCTCCCTTCAATACTCACATCACTTCTAGAAACAGGGTAGATAGAAACAGTATATAAATAACTATGTTTCCAAGTTTATTTATTCATATTTACTTCATTCTAAGAACATTGAATATCAGCCCAACCTATTTAGCAAACTGTGTGTGGGATTCATCGTTGTGTTCCTACCATGGAAAGACATGAACCATGCAGACAGAAAAAAACAACAAAATCCCGAATAGGGATTTGTGTGTAGGGCTTTTAGATGGACTTCCTTGCAGGGATACACTGCTTTCTTACTATTTTAGGAAACACTGACTTTGCTCATGCCCTAGCTCAGAGTTCCCCTTCCTACTAAATGGGAGGGCTTTCCTATCTCCACTGCCCAACACTGCACAAAGCTGGAAGACCAACTTCACTCAGTGTTTGCAGAGACCTGCTCTGCTGCAGAGTGGACAGCTCCAGTCTGCCCTTCACCGCCCTCTTCTACAGCCAGAACACTCAGTGCTGTCTCTTCTGGTTCCGTGGGCTTCTTGATCTTGGTTGACTCTGGGAACATTGTTTTTGGAAGGAAGGGTTATTTCCTGATTGGTTTTCATAGAAAACACACCCTAGCAGAGGGTTAGACATCACAGTACAGTCTCAGTAACATCTTTACACATCCCCCAGCACTCAGAATCAGTTCCACATGCTGTCTACAGCTTCTCTTACCCAATCCTGATACGAACCCTACAATACTTTTTTGAGATTTATTTTTATATTTATTTTGATTTTTATGTGTATGAATGTTTTGCCTGCATGTATGTAAGTGCACCCATGTCATGCAAAGCAAACAGAGGCCAGAAAGCGGCATCAGATCCCCTGGAACTGGAGTTAGTGGCCATGTGGGTGCTGAAATCAAACCCAGGCCCTCTACAAGAGCAGCTCCAGTTTGTGTCAGGTTAACAGACACTAAGGAGCACACAGGCCCAGCTGTTCTGTTATACTTGGTGTATTGTTTCTGCCCCACATGACCCACGACTCAGAGCTCTCAAGTCCTGCTGACAGGGCTTGACATTTCTCTGGGCCTGTTAGAAAGCACCAGTGGATTTCTATCCTGTTTTTCATCAACTTATTCCCATTTGCTCTGTATCTTCTAGAAGCATCTAAAGTGTTTCTTCCTTTTCTAAAACTACATTTATTGATTGACTGGGGGTGCAGATAAGCACGTCAAGGGGTGTGTGTGGAAGGCAAAGGACAATTTGTGGGAGTCAGTTTTCTCCTTCCACCATGTGGGTCCAGAGACTCAAACTCAGGTCATCAAGTCTGGCAGCAAGCACTTTTAGCCATTTTATCAGCTCAAATAGGACGGTAACTTCTGTTGTTTTGGTTTCAGTGCTGGGGATGGAAGCCAGGACTTTGGATCTGCTAGGTAGACACTTTATCACTGAGCTACATCCCCAGTCCCTTACTTTTCAGGGTCTCTCTGGGTTCATCCTTAACTTTATACCTCTCCTAATATTTCAGTGGAATTCAGGAAGAAAAGGACCTTTCTTTAGTATACAATGTGGAAGCAAAAGCTCTTATCTGAATTTTCAGTTTGTTTGTTTTTTTTTTTTTCTACAATAGGTATGTATTTTAACTGATAAATACTGTTTGGAAGACAAGGGAAAAAACTCTTTTCTGAATTTTCTATTTTTCTACAATGAGTATGTATTATAACAAACATAAGTGCCATTTGAAAACATTTGTACCACAAAGGCTTGGTGCCCAGGCCAATGGCACTCCCTGCAAGTGTTGCTGCCTGGCACCGCAGATCACAGAACAGGTCAGGCAAGGAGAATGCCCTGGTCTGTGACTGAGTAACTTTTCATTGAATTGTTTTAGGTTAGTACGAGAAACATCTTGGCACATACATAGCCACACAGCACAACCCGCTGCATCCTTCAACACAAATTAAAACATTAACAGACTGAAGAATGAAGACTGGATCCAATGACAGTTTGACCCAATAAATTTAAATACTGTTAATACTCTTATTTGTTACTTTATTAGGAAACTTCTTCACCTTGCCTATAAAAATGTGATAATTAAAAAGACGTTTTTAAACTTCCAGTCTTAACCTGTATGTTTACTGCAAACAAAAGCCTGGCTCCTAAGTATAATTATTTAATAAATTCACTGCTTGGACATGAAGAAAAACTATAAACCGAGATTTTAAGTGGTGCTCTCAACAGGTGGCCACAGTGCATGACAGATGTTCATCATAACTGTTTTTTGTATCTGAAGGTCTCCTCACCAGCACGCACATGACTTGAGAGGGGAAAACAAAACTTTTGCCTCTCTCCAGGCTTCTGTGAATGCGTTTAGTCAGTTCATGGGATGTACTACTGAGTTGCCTCCTAAGCTGAAAACACAGGACAGGGTCCTAACTCTAATTTTGTGGCTCACTCTGCTTCTTAAACCTTGTCCTAAGGGTGAAACACTTGCCTAGCATGCCCAAGGCCCCAGATACCATCCCCAGCACCAGGGTGGCAGGGTGGGGGTGCTGTTTCCTGGGCTACACTCTGTCCTGTTCATCAGCAGTTTTGATACCCAGGCTAGTTGAAAAGCTAGAAGGCCACAGCTCAGTTCCACCATGAAATGACAGAGCTCCCTGTTTATGAAACCTTGACACTCTATTTCAGTTTCATTCATTTTAATCATTTAAGATCAAATTGGACTTCACAAGTTAAAGCAGTCAAGAAATTCTTTAAATAAGTCTAGTGATTTGTAGAATTAAAAGACAAGGCCAAGGGGCATGGTGGTGCATGCCTTTAACCCCAGCACTTGAGAGGTAGAGGCAGGTAGATCTCTGCGAGTTCAAGGCCAGCCTGGTCTACATACCAAGTGCCAGGCCAGCTGGGGCTATAGGGAGACCCTGTCTCAAAACGACCGAAGGGGGAAAAAAAAAAAAAAAGCCAGGCCAAATTTGAGGACAGCAAACAGGTAATATTGAGTAAGTGCTAATAAGCACCCCCATCTCCCCGACCCTAGACTCAATTCCAGAAACAAGACAGCCTGGAACAACTCAGGGGAAGCTGATTTATCCACCCAGCATGGTAAACTAACCTGGCTCTCATGCCCTGCACCTCTGACACTGGGAGTCATCTCCCTCCTCTAGCCTCATCACAGGGGACTTCATCTCAAAGAGATTGATTTTTGAAGAATGCTGTGCTGTCTATTACTTTTCTGTAGCTGTGATAAAATACCATGACCAAAAGCAGCTTAGGGAAAAAAGGGTTTATTTTGGCTTACAGTTGTGGAGGGAGAAAGTCCACCCTAGTGGAAGGCAAGGCAGCAGGAGCAGGGAGCTCCTCACTTTCATCCATTCACAGGAGCAGAGAATGAAAGAAAAGGAAGTGAGGCAGGCTACAAATCCTCAAAGCCCACCCCCCACTGACACACTTCCTCCAGCAAGTCTCTACCTCCTAAAGGTACCATAACTTCTCCAAACAGTGCCACCAACTGGGGACCACTGGGGAGACTTCTCATTCCAACCATCAGTCTTTGAAGATTCTGCTGTTGCTATTTCTGTCTTCCATGAAAACCTGCCATTGAACAATCTGCATGTTGAGTACCTAGCAACCCAAATTACATTTACAGAAAAACAAATTTTAGGCTGTGATCACAAAACTTATATTTCAAACTTAATTACTGTGCTTCTGAATAATGATTTCCAATACTTTACAATATTCACAATGATGTGACTAATCACAACTGTTCATTCATAATCTATGGCTGTACTGTGCCTGTCATTTCATTATTTGCTTGGAATTTGAGTCTCTCTACAATTTGGAACTTTCCTTGCTTAATAAATTTCCTTTCTGCCACTCTGCAATATGAACCTATCACTCTCATCAAGACAAGTCTCTCTCGCATGAATGTCAGGCTCCTTCCCATCATCACTGTTATTCACACTGATCCTCAGACAGAGCACCCTCCCTCTTATCATCAGTTAAATCTCACCTACTATCACGATTATCCAGAGGTATCTATATAATTACTTAATTACCTACAAAGAAAGGGAAATTAGGATTTGCTTCACAGATCCTAAAATGTTAGATTAAGAAGTCTAGAAACTACAGTATAAAACACAGCTACAATACCTGAAAATACTTGAACTCAGATATAAAATCAATGAAAGAAATTATAAACAACTATCAGACTTTATGAAAACACTAAAAATAAACAACCTGAAACAAGCTAAACTAGCCTCCTGTTCACGAGACTGTGGGGAGATGTCTTTTTCAGTTCTCCTCTTCAAATGCTTAGGAGAACACGTAAGGGCTATATATACTCAGAAAATGGAAAATGTTAAGATTTTCACAGGTTTCTTAGTGTAGCCTTGGTGCTACAGCTGGTCACCAAGTACTTTAAATACTAAGGCTTTCATTCATTTTATTTTCAACACTTTTTTTTTTTTTGGATAGGCTCTCCCTTGTCCCAGCCCACCTGATACTATGTAGACCAGGCTGGCTTCAGTCTCACAGAGATCTGCCTGCCTCTGCCTCCTAAGGGCTGGGATTAAAGGCGTGTGCCACCTCCTTTGGTATTCAACATATTTTTATTGTACCCCAACAGCACCATAGAAACTTCACTATCATTGGTGTATGAAACAACAGTGTCCCTCTCAAAGAATGTAACCTCAAATAAGCATTAATCAAGTAATCATGTAAAAGGGGGATTAAAAAATAAAGGGGCAGAACACTATGGAAACAGGTTAAAGGTGCTCTGCCTGTTGGAGGGAGGGTGTGGTGCCGGACAAAACTACTGAACCTTCATGAACTGTAAACTCTTAACAGCAGGGGCTGCATCTCACACACTATACACAACTGTTCACTGGCTTATCCCCATTAAAATTTGAGGCTAAACTTAACAAGCCCTTCCTTTTTCAATGGTGTAGAAAAATCCAACTTTATACGTCAAAACACTTTCAGAAATAGTTTTAAAATATATGTTTACTCTTAAGCATCTTACAAAGGAATCTTCCCTAAGTTTAAAGGATTTCACAATATGATTAGACTTAAGGGTAAGGAACAAAATATCAATGATAAAACTATTTACATTTCTTAAAGAGAACTAGTCACATAATTTATGTACTAAGATAATATACAAGTTATTAAATCTCTTCACTAAGAGCACACATCAGTCATAAGGAGGTTTTCTTAAAGCATATACATTCACACTGTATATCCTGGAAGTTTATTTATTATTAATTCTCGAATATCTTTGCATTGTTTGGAAATGCTCAGTGAACCCAGGTCATCGTCTTCCTCTTCAGATGGGCTGCTACCTGAGGCCTTGAGTTCTAGTTCGTTCAAATTGGATGGTAAATACGAACTCACTTGGAATGTCCGAGGTGACTGGCTTTTCTTAGAAGACTTGCAACCAGTTCCTGTTTGAAGTTTAATGTCTTGACCTCTGTTCACAACCTTAGACTTATAGGTGCTCGTCAGGTCTGTCTGGTTTTCTTTTCCGTCTGTCCACTGTGATGAAGACAGGTCACTGGTGGAGATACTGGATGCTTCCTGCAAACTTCTGTCTTGAGTTTTGATGACATGAGACCTTTCATGTGAACACACTGGTGAACAAGCTGAGAAGGGTGGGCTAACACCACTCTTGCCACTGCTGCTTTTCCTTGTGGACAGTCTCGCCTCACTTGACCCACTGGCATGAGAACTGTGTTTTGGATTCCCTGTCCTTGCACTGCTGTCCTGAGCTGGCAAACTTCTGCTGTTCTCAGAGGTACAGAAGTCTTCAGAGTAGCAAGGGCTGGTAAAGTCATCAGAATACCTTAGTTCTGAGATGCTCTCATAAGAACTGTTTCTGCTTGGTCTGTTTTCACTCTTCTCAGCAGTCAGAACATCTCTGCTTGTGGTTTTGACCTGCCTACCTATTTCCTCACCTACAACTCTGTCAACAGGAGCATCCTCTTGTCTGGAAACACACCAGATTTGAGCTTTCATTTCTGATTTTCCTCTCAAAATATCTGTGTAAGCAAATCTTTCTGAACTAATGGAATCTGCAGGGCTCACAACTGTTTCCACTGAGATGCTATTTCTAGTTTCACTCCAATCAGCTGTCTGTTTGTCAATAGCATGGCTCGGTTTCATTTCTTTAGTGGTATTGGGCTCATCAAAAACTGCATTGATTTGCCCTGAGGTATCAGTGTCTTCAGCAAAAGACCCGTTTGAGCCTGAGGAGTTCTCTTCAGGCAACTGAGGTGGCACCTGGCTTGGCGTTGCCAAGCTTAACACTTTACGTGATGGAACTCGAACCTTTGGACCCACTGCTTTTATCTGCATTTTTCTATATTGTTCCCTCTTTTCATGAACAATCAACATATCAGGATTTGTTTGCTTTAAACGCAGCCGTAGTGTATTTGTTAAGCCATAAAGCAGTCTCCCCTTTGTAACTCTTGGGGGAGGGCTCCCACTGATCCTTTCCAAATGTTTACTTCTGTGGTTTTCAACTTGGTTCTTTTTACTCTGAAGACTGGTGGACTTTTCATGTTCCCCCACAGAGAACTTACTCTTCTTAGATTCAGAGCGGGATGTGGACTTGGCAGAAGTTTCTGGTCCCTTATGCTCTGCTCTGTACAACCAGGCTAACTGAGGGTGCACATGAGTGGAACTTGCCACTGGCTGGTTGTATAACAAGGACAGCTCGATCAGCAAGGCATTCAGCAACGGCAGCTGCCTTATTGTATTGATTGTACTTTGCTCAGTCTGAGACTGACTCACAGCTGCATTAGCTGCTTCTGGGTCCTGCGTTGGTGGAAGATTTAGAAGCACTGGAGGGCTCTCCTGTGTTGCAGATTTTGTATGTTTGACAGAGTGTGTTGGAGGACTTACAAGTTTTGTTTCTGGAAAATCGCCATCCAGGAGGTCTGGTCCATTTCTTTGAGGTTCGAAGGTGACTTCAACCCGGGCAGGAGACATCTTTTCTTGGGCCAGGTGGGTGTAATACAGAGGAGGGGGGCAAATGGTGTTGGTTTCAAAGTCCAGCTCTGGAGCCTCCTGGCCCCCAGGGCTGACACTTCTCCCACCGGGAGCAGGTGAAAAAGGGACAGGGCCCATGTCCCCAGAGCTGGCCTTACTGTGGAAGGATACTTCCTCCCTGTGCTTCTGCACAGCTGAGGGATCTGAGTCCCCAGCAGACCAGACCCGGGCAACCTCAGGGAGTGGTTCTGAAGCACCCGGAAGGCGTGGCTTTGAGGTGTCCTGCGGGAGTGGCTCTGAGACATCCCAGGGGCGTGGCTTTGAGACATCCTTATGACACAGTTTTGAGGAACCGTGGGTACCAAGCTTCACGGTCTGCATGAGGCGTTGCTCTGACTTACCCTGGTGACATGGCCCCAAGCTCTCCTGGAGGCATGACTCTAAGTTACACTGGGGGCGCGGCCCCAAGGTCTCCTGGAGGCGTGGCTCTGAGTTACCCTGGGGGCGTGACTCTGAGGCCTCCTTGAGCTGCGGCTGAGGAATCTCCAGGGCCTGGAAATCCGCGGTCCCCGTCAGGACGTGCCCTAAGTCGGTTAGGCGGTAGAAGAGCGCCACTTCCCCTACACGCTCGCCCGCTGGGCCGCATAGCCCGAAGGTACCACGGCGGGGGCGGAAGGCATGCACCCGGACATCGCAGGACCCCAGCAGACGCGGCGCATGCGCGGGGTCCGCGGACAGCAGTAGTAGCGCCGTGCGCAGGCGCGATACGCCTAGGGCTGTGGGGCGCAGGCGTAGCAGGCAGACCTTGCCGCGCCCGAAACCGATGACGCCGCTGTGAGGCGCTGGCCTGGGCGCGGTGGGCGGAAGGACGAACAGGGGCGGGAAGTCTAGCAGGTGGAAGGCCACCGCGGGGTTCGAGGCGTGCGGGAACGCCCCGGCCTCTAGCCGCACCCAGTCTACGAGCAGCTCCAGCGAGAAAAGCCGCTCCTCTTCGGTGGCAGCCATGTCTGTTGTCAGGGCAATACCGCGCAAGCCGGAAATCCAAGTCTGAGCTTTCGCGAGAGTTGCTGGGTCGATGGCGCTCGTCCCTTCTCTCGCGAGATATGAATGTGTTCTACTGAGCGCTCCCTGGCCTGAAGCTTTTCTTGTGAGCGAACGATTGCAACATCATGCTGAGTATGTGCGCGGCAAAACAGGAGTTAAAAAGCAGGTTGCATTTCATTTACTGTCACATGTTGGAAATAAATGGATCTTCCTGCCCTATTCAGACCTCAGAGCCTGCTGACCAGTGTTCAAGGCCCATCCCTGGCTACAGGCCTGGCCCCCTGCCTGGGACAGTACAGTGGCCGGACCCATCTCTGTCCTCTCACAGCTCGACCACTTGCGGGCACCTGCCCCCATGGACTTCAGGCAGGCCTCTTGAAGGAAGCCTGCTTCCCATGAGCTTTGGCCTCAGCTTCCACACTGCCAACTCTGCGTCATCCAGGTGTTTCTTGCTTGAGCTGTGTATCAAGATCCCTTAACCTACACGGATCAAAGCCCTCATCTCAAACCCTGACTTCTGACCCCAGTTTGGCTTGCCTTCAGCAAGAATTTATTAGTCTTCTTTTTCCAGAACCCCCTACAGACGGGAACCCAAAGACAGCAGGGCTGACTGCATGATTCCTGGAATTGACAAGCACAGAGGGTATTAGAGATGCTGTCTGCCCAGGGACTATCCAGGGCTCAGGAACGAGCCTGTGTGGAGCTAACTAGGGGAAAATGAGATTCAACTTTCATATTGAGGAACGGGGATAGTCCCTCACTCTCTGTGTGTGTGGCGGGGGGTTTACAATGGTATGAAAGTGTACCCATAATATTTAGCCAGTTACATGAGCTATTCTACACCGTTCTATGAACTTTGTATTGGATGGTCTCACCCAATTGTAGGTTAATGTGTGTTCAGCAGGAGTAAGGTGAGCAAGGCTGAGCTTTTAACATTTGGAGGGTAATGTGGTAAATATATTTTCAATTTACACTGACTTTATCTGGATATGATCCAGTTGTATGCTGGAAATCATTTGCAATTCTTCACCCTGATGCCTCCCTTCCCCTTTAAAACATTACAGCAGGGGCTGGAGACATGGCTCAGTGGTTAAGAGTGCTTGCTGCTCTTGCAGAGGACCAGGGTTTGGTTCCTAGCACCCACATCTTGGTTCACAACCATCTGTAACTCCAGCTGCAGGGCATCTGATACCCTCTCCTAACCCCCACGTGTACGTGCATGCAGTCAAACTCCCATCCACCCATCCAGATTAAAGTAAATCTCTTTTTTTAAAGATTTCAAGGCCAGGTATGGTGGTGCATGCCTTTGATCTCAGCACTCAGGAGTCAGAGGGAGGTGTAGCTCTGTGAGCTCAAAGTCAGCCTGGTCTATATAGAGAGTTCCAGTCCAGCCAAGGTTGCATAATGAGATCCAGTCTCATAAAAACAAAAGCAAAAAAGCACAAGATAAAACATAAAAATATGATCTAAAACAGGAATTTCTTAAAGGAATTTAATAAGGGAAAATACAATCTAAACACGTAAATATGAAAAGGCCAAGTTAGCACCTTTGACTATAGTTACAGCACCCTCAGTCTCCACAAATGCTTATTTGCCTTGACAGATCCGGGAACCTTAGCTCCAGAATTCCTGTGGAGACAGACAAGGAGCTTGGGGGCCCCTTGTAGCTCTCTTGCTTTTCCACAGACTCCCCACACCTGGTAGTTTCGCGGTTCTAGGTGTATATTGTATCCCTGAAGCAAGAATATCTCCATGAGGAAAAGCAGATACCTATGGTCGTTCGGACCTCAGATAAAAGCTATACAGAAAGGCATGCTCCTCTTCTTTCTTCTTCTTCCTCTTCTTCCTCTTCTTCTTCTTCTTCTTCTTCTTTTCTCCCCTCCTCCTCCTCCTCCTCCCCCTCCTCCCCCCCCTCCTCCTCCACTAGAGGCATCTGGAATCTTCTAAGCCAAATACACCCCTCTCCTATAAGTGGATTGCAAATGAACTGTGTACCTTAAACACTCATAGTAATCCATCAGGATTCTGACTGCATGGCATGCTCCTTGGCACATTAGACCATTGGGAAAGATGACCTGTCTTTATCCTCAGAATAAGTTCTGTACCACAATGTGGATCTTTTTGTTTCCTGTCACTCTTAGCATTTCTAAATTTCTAGAGAAGAGAAAGACTTTGCTTTCCTGGATGATATGCAGAACAATGATCACACAGCAAAGGACTTTGCCACAGGAATCAGGCATCTGCATCTAATGAGGTGCAGAACAACGATTAGAAACATCATGATATCCTTATCAATCTAACAGCTGTGAGAAGTGCAAAGGTTCTTCTAAAAAGTTCTGTGGCCAGGCGTGGTGGCTCCTTGGGCAGACAGAGACAGGTGGATTGCTGTGAGAGCCAGGCCGGCCTCGAATGCTCTACATAGCGAGTTCCAGGCCCATTGGAGATAAATGATGAGACACTGTCTCATCAAAAAAAAAAAAAAAAATTCTATGATGTGGAACCAAGAGTCTGTCTTGCTCCTTCAAATATGATTGGAAATTCATTCACCAAAGAAGGAGCAGGAAAGACAGGTTGGCAGGGATGGCGATCAGAGAATAAATAAAGCACAGCTAGTCACTGAAGATAAAGAATGGCCCAACCCCCACCTTGGTAATTGTATGGAAAAGGAAGTGAAGGAAACAGAGTCTTGTAGTATCCTATGACACCAAAAATTATGGGGTCAGGGCCGGGGAAGCAACTCAGTAGTAGAGTGCTTGCCTGGAGTACATGAAGCCCTGGGTGAAATCCCCAGTACCCTCCTGTTATATATATGAGTATGGAAAAGAAATAGAGTTTAGAGTTTAGAGTTTAGAAATAAGAGCCAGAGCCAGTCGTGCAACAGGCAAGGAATGTGTCCTCTTTATTCAGAGAACACAGCAAAGGGCTTCGGCCTTGCCGCAGGAATCAGCCATCTGCACTTAAGGGAGGGGAGTTTCCACTTTTATAGGAATCCTGCTGCATGTAGATGCAGGAGTTTACTCGGTGCCAGGGTCTGATGTCGTTCAGGGTCTCTCTTCTAAGATTATTTTCTCAGGCAGAAGAGCTACCTTAGGTCACTAAAGGAGACGATTGGCTCCATAAACAGTCTTCCTCAGTCCAGGAGTGACCAGTTGATAAGGCATGAGCAAGGCCAGGTTGCCGGTTGAGGGCCAGTTAGCCACTTTATGGGTTTTTTTTTTTTATGGTTATATTGCTTTCCTAATTAGGCTCCAGGCTCGTCTATCCACTCCCATGAAAGAGGGAAGGGGAGGGAGAGGGAGAAGAAAGAGGAGGAGGAGGAAGGAAAGAAGGAAGAAGAGAAATTAATTTTTGCTAGTTATTTGTTCACTAGTATGCTGAATGTACTGGTATGTACTTTTGCTAGGAGTGGTTAGTGGAAGTGACTCTCATTGGCAATTGGAAAGGTACAGGCCACAGGCTTCCCACGGAATAGACTGTCAGCCTATTTCATGATTGTACAACTCTGGTGCAAGCTCCCACTCCAGTGCTTCCTCCCAGACCACCTCAACCTGTATCTTACATTTAAAATGAAGGTTTAGTTTTGACTCATGTTCCAGGTCATTCTGATGCCCACAGTACTGTTTGTTGAGAGCCACCACCCTCACATCCAGTTCCTTGCCAATGACTATGGCTGTGAGAAGTTTGCAACAGGCAGAATGGTATTACAGTCATGTGGCTAGAATAGAAAAACAGTCATGCATTTGCATGGTCATAGCTCCTTCAGTTACACTTTGCAGGTGAAGTAGAAGGAGGGAGGTGCTTGACCCTCAGCTAAGAAGCATCACAGTCCATATGGCCCATGCCAGGAGAAGTCAGCACAGCAGCAGCACAGTGACAGCCTGTGAGCAAGGACTCAGAAGGAGCGTCAGAGAGGCCCTGGAGATGGGTCATGAGAAGACCCCTCTGTGGACTGAGCCCTGCTGCCAAGGCTCCCCAGCCCTTGTCTGACTCCAGGCAAGACAGACTGCAGACTCCCAGGAAAGGATCCTCTGCTGCCCGCAGTGACTGAAGAGGCTGAAAGCTGTGATCTAATTCATCAATCTTTTCTTCTGATGGAAATCAACAGTTAAGTATTCTGGTTGAGACCATCTTGTCAAGACTAATGTAAATAGCTCCTCATCTAATGGAATTTGGTTTAAATTGGGTTTATTCTAAATCGTGACACACAAAATTTAGGCACCTCTAAATTCTATGATAGCCAGCTGTTGGTTTCATAATTAGTAAACACCTATATTTTGAATTCTGGGAAATAAATCAAAAGTCTTGATAATTTTATCAACAGTCCTTCAGGAGCCTTGGACCATGGACTGGGCCTTAGAGTCCATTGGAATAGCTCTAGAAACAGCTGCCAGCTTTGCCAGGCTGTTCTTGTGCATGTACTTGGCAGTGAGCCAGGTCCTTCTAGGCTTTCCTTTTTTCAGTTCTGGCGGTTCCATCGATTGCTAGTCTACTCAGAAATTAATGAACCTTACTTGGGGAAAGTTAAATAGTGTGTTCCTTTGCCTGGCAGGCAAGTGGTCAAACTGCAATTGATACCAGTCCATCTTTAAAAAATAGCTAGAAACCTTCAGCTTGTTTATCCACACATAAGGAAAGTATTAATATATAGGAAACTGACAACTTCCAATTCAAAAATGTGGTTCAGGACACAAAGGGACCATTAAGTAATATCACAAGCAAGCAGAGAGGCAGGGTGTGGTTTTTCTGTAAGAACATCTGCCCTGATGTCTTTTTAATTGTGTAGGAGAGGGGGGCGTGTGCACATGAGTGCAGTGCCCTCAGAGGCCAGAGGCATCTGATCCCCTGGAATTGAAATTATAGGTGGCTGTCAGCCACTCCACATGGGTGGTGGCAACTGAACTGAGGTCCTCTGCAGGAGTAATACTCGCTCTTAACCCCTGACCCATGGCTCTAGCCCCAGCCCCAGCCCTGATTTTTGTTTGTCTCGTCTTGTCTCATCTCATCTCATCTCATCTCCTCCGGAGAAGACAGGGTCTACCTATGCAGCCCAGACTGGCTTTTAACTCATGATCCTTGCACCTCAGCCTCCAGTGTTGGAATTACAAGAGTGTGCCACCACCCCTTAGCTTGACACCTTTCACACAGCTTATCAAGGGCATAGCAAAGGGCAGGTGAAGGGACCTGCTCTAGACTTAGTATTCATAAGAGACTCACTCAGACTCAGCTGTGAAGTGTGACATCCACATTCTTTGGGCTTTCACTCCAAACAACCCATCCGAACAAAGAGATTTGTTTGAGATGATGGGGGAGTTTGATGAAAAACTGGCATCATATGACACAAAAGATTGTCACTTAAGGCTGGGTGCTTAAGTGCCATGAAGGTTGTCTAAGAAGACATTCTTGGATGTAAGATGCGAGAGGAAGTTGGAAGAAAATGATACAGCTTGAAACAGTGGTTGTTGTTGAGACTGTGTCTCTCGTAGTGTAACCCATGCTGGCCTCACACAATGACCTTGAAGTCCTGATCCTCCAAGCCTCTGGCCTCCCAAGCCCTGGGATTATAGGCACATGCCACCATACTCAGCTTGGGATTTTTTCCTAATACTTTAGGACTAAAAAACATGGCAGAGCCAGACGTGGTGGCCTACGCCTTTAATACCAGCAGTCGGGAGGCAGAGGCAGGTGGATTTCTGTAAGTTCAAGGCCAGCCTCGTCCATATAGTGAGTTCCAGGACAGCTGGGGCTACAGGGAGACCCTGTCTCAAAAAGACCAAAAAAAAAAAAAAAAAAAAAAATCATGGCAGAAAGAGTAAAGTGAAGTCTTTCCTCCACCTCTGGAGCAGCAAGGATTATATTACAGGCCTGTGTGCCTCCACCACCCCATTAGGCGGAGCTGGAATGGAACCCGGGGCCTCTGGTATGCCAGGCCAGTGC